GTTTAGGGTTTAGGGTTTAGGGTTTAGGGTTTAGGGTTTAGGGTTTAGTGTTTAGGGCTCCAATCCGCACATGGGGCCATGGGGTTCATGTAGCCCCCAGGTGGCATGAGCCCTGCAATCCAAGAAGCCCCACGAACCCTAAACATCCAAAAGCACCCTCAGCCCTAAACCCTAAACCCCAAACCCCAAACACCAAATAACCCTAAACCCTAAACCCTAATCCCTTGCCAAGACTTCAAAAAGGCAATCCCAGTTCTGCAGTGTACGTTCCCCTGAAAAACCTCTGAAAACTATTCCTGAACATGATCCTCTTAAACCCAATAGGAGAAACATACAATGTCCCAAGGGCCTACCGCTATATCTATATTTCCAGAGCCCTTCTCAGTGAGGAGTTCCCTAAACCCCCACATACCTCAAGTAGGTTCTTGGCACTTACTCACCAAATAGTAATGGCACTCATAACACAATTATAACCATATCAGGGCAATTGAGGGGCTTATAAGTGGGTTATAAATGCAGTTATACTTGGTTAATTCGTCCCCTAAACCCTAAACCCTAAACCCTAGCCCTAAACCCTAAACCCTGAACCTTAGGTTACCAAGTACCACGAACCTCCAAGTACCCCCCTCTTCGGCTTGCGGCAGCGCCAGCGTCTGCCGGAAAGCGGCCATGCCTCCAGGAACCTTGAGATAGGGTTCAGGGTTTAGGGTTTAGGGTTAGGGTCTAGGGTCAGTCGAGGAAGGTTTGACGGATTGAGGGGTTTAGGGTTGAGATCGAGTGCGGAAGAAGTCGGAAGAAGGTACCTAAATCCCAGCTCCGTATTTTGAAAACAGTAAGTTGTGGTCAGGTGAAAGAGCATGCATATACGGAGATATATATATATATATATAATCTATACATATATATATATATACATTACACTTCGTGTTTCCCCCCCCCGACCCCGCGCATGTGCCCTCTCTCTGTTTGTGTTGATTGCAGCAGGCATCTCAAGACAGGTCTTGGAGGGTTTCCGGTTGAGAGTTCAGCTTTGCTAACAAAAGAGGGACAGGTTCGAAGCTGAAAATATGGCTCTTGAGGTGCGGACGCAGACTTCAGCATAGCCTTCGGCCCCTACATCTTTTTTTAAAGGCTTATAGGGGGTTAGGGTTTAGGGAGCCCGAAGCCCGAAGCACCAACTTCGCCATCTCCCGAGATGGAGGCCGTCTCTGGCAAGGCCATCTCCTGGCCAAGGGTTTAGGGTTTAGGGTTAGGGTTTAGGGTTTAGGGTTTAGGGTTTAGGGTTTAGGGTTTAGGGTTTAGGGTTTAGGGTTTAGGGTTTAGGGTTTAGGGTTTAGGGTTTAGGGTTTAGGGTTTAGGGTTTAGGGTAAGGGTTTAGGGTTAGGTCCCAGACTTTCAGCTCAGACACCGAAATTGAGAAGAAACAAGGCCAAAGAAGCATCGCCGTGTATTCGCCTCCCCCTAATCTTCAAGTCCTCCCCCCCCAAAAAAATCCCCAATTATAAATGACCTCATATACTTCCCTATACTATTCTCACGTATTATCACGAAGATGGGAGTAAGTAATAGAAGGGGCGGGGGGGGTGCCCCCCCGAAAACAGCATACAAAGCAGCTCGAGCCTTTTGGGGTGGCTACTTCCCTCGAAGATTTGAGCTAACCTTCTCTTGAGTGAAGCCTGGTAGCCCAGTAAACACATTCTTAGTAACCATATAAGGTATAAGAGTTTCATCTTTTTGAGGTTGATTGTGTTATAAGGGTAATCCGGAACCAAAAAATGGGCAAAAGGCTACCAGTGGGCTACCAAGGAGAAAAGAAAGATCTCACATTCCCGTGAGAAAAGAAACAAGGCCCAAGACTAAGCCAGGTTCAAAAAGGGTACCCTTTTTGGCTTAAAGGAGCTAAAAAAAAACCGGGAACCTAGACCCCAAAAGAAGGGAATGGTGGCCTACTCTGGGTCGTAGGAAAATGCCGCCTAGCACCACGCTCTGGCCAAAAATTTTGGAAGGTGGGGTTTAGGGTTTAGGGTTTAGGGTTTAGGTTTTAGGGTTTAGGGTTTAGGGTTTAGGGTTTACGGTTTACGCCGGTTTCGGGCTATTTTTCGGTTGTTTTGAACCTGCGGGTGTACAACTCTTTCGACGACCCCTTAAAAACAAACACGAGCGCGGCCCTCATAACCGAAGCCTAAACCCTACACCCTCCCTAGACCCTAAACCCTCTAAACCCTAAGCCCTATAAACCCAAAACCCTACAAACCCTAAACCCTCAAGGCCAACCGACACGTGTCCTCGGCCAAGGCATCTTGGGCTTTTGTGATGGTCGCCTGGAGTCGGGGATCCTTTGCTACACCTACCTCCTACAGTGAAGGGCCTCAGAGTTAGGCTTTTAGAATTTAGGGTTTAGGGCTGTAAGGTTTAGGATTTAGGGTTTAGGGGATAATAGGGTTTAAACCTGCAGAAACCTCAGAACCCCCTGAAAACCCGAAAACTTCGCAAACCAAATTCCTAAATATGATCCTCCCAAAATCCAATAAGGGCAAAAGATTCCTAAATATGATCCTCCCAAAACCCAATAAAAGGAAAATTATTCTAGTGAGTTGGGGCCGTTTATGGCATGCTCCCAACCCCGTGACGTCACCCAATCTCCGCGCCTTGCTCCATGGTGCACCCTGGAGGGAGGCCTCTCCAGCGGCTGTAGGGTTTGGGGTTTAGGGTTTAGAGCCGGTTGAGGGTTTAGGGTTTGGGGGTTTGGGATTTAGGGTTCGGGGTTCGATGTTTAGGGGTCTTGTTAGGGTTTCAGGCCGAGAGAATGGCACTTCGGTTCAAGTGTTTAGGGCTAGGGCTCTTGAGAGATGATGACGTAGCGTCAGGTAGTGGGTTGAGTTGTGCATCCCTCTGGCGTATATCAGACACAGCAACATGCAGAGCATTTTGTTTTTGCCAGTTGAGGTTGGTGTCATACTTTGGAGCTTGCATTTTCGGTAGCAAACCAGGCTACACGAGAGTGGGGTAACGCGTGGTGAAAGCTAGCCGGGGCCCTACGCGCCCGACATCTTCAGCGGGTAGCCCGCGTAGACGCCTCCGAACCGATGCCCTGCGGAGAAAACATGCCTACGCAGCCCGACCTCACATCATTTCTACTTGTACGGGGTCCCATACCTTTTAGCCCAGCAATCATCCCATAGTAAGGGCACCCTTTGTTGGTTGGTTACCTTACAAGGGAACCACTGGGCTACCCTAAACCCAAAACCCAAAAAAGAGGGTAAAGGGTACCACCCGGCCACCAAGCACACGAACAAACAAAATGGGGCCCACCCACAAAAACAGAGGCCCCAGAAGCAGCCCATGAGCTGGGCTTTTGAAGGGGTACAAGGAGGGCCCCCCAGAAGGGACACTTAGTCTCCCCTATATATCCCCAATGTGTACCTTATATAGTCCCTGTATACCCAAGTAGCCCCTAACTAACCCCAAAGAACCCCTAAGGTCCTCTAATCCCTTGAGTTCGTCTAGTGCGCGCCAGAGGAAACCACACGAACGCCCAGACACCCTAAACCCCAAACCCCAAACCCTGAACCAGACCACGCAAAGGGCTCCATCATTCCACGCCACCCGAAACATCCCGAAGCCCAACCCGCCCCGGCTTCTCAATCCCTAAACCTTAAAACCTAAACCCTCAATCCCAGCCTCCAACTTCTTCGCCCGGACGGTCGTGGGTGCCATACCTCCATAGGCTGCCAGTGCCTGCGAGGGGGGTTTAGGGTTTCCCGAAACCCTAAACCCTAAACCCTAAACTCTAAACCCTAAACTCGAAACCCTGAACCCTGAACCCTGAACCCTAAACCCTAAACCCTAAACCCTGAACCCTGAACCCTAAACCCTAAACCCTAAACCGAAACTCCCGACAGCCCAGACCCAACCAAGGGGCAAACCCTATAAAGACTGCCAAGCCGAATTCAGACCCCTCCCAAGGTCGAATGCGCCAATGGGCTACGCTTAGGGTTTAGGGTTTAGGGTTTAGGGTTTAGGGTTTAGGGTTTAGGGTTTAGGGTTTAGGGTTTAGGGTTTAGGGTTTAGGGTTTAGGGTTTAGGGTTTAGGGTTTAGGGTTTAGGGTTTAGGGTTTAGGGTTTAGGGTTTAGGGTTTAGGGTTTAGGGTTTAGGGTTTAGGGCCCGGGAGTACCGTAGTAAATCGGGCGAATTGCCCCCTGAGAGCCAGTAAGTCGACAGATATGAGCCTTAAACTTACAACGGCCTCCCTAAACCCTAAACCCTAAAACCCTAAAACCCTAAAACCCTAAAACCCTAAAACCCTAAAACCCTAAACCCTAAACCCTAAACCCTAAACCCTAAACCCTAAACAGACACCCTTGAACCCTCAACCGCAGGCACATTTTCGGTGCATGGCGCCCAAAGGCCCGCCTTGAAGCGGGGCTTGGAAAATAGGAGCCGTGCTGCAGGTCACTTGGGTTTAGGGTTTAGGGTTTAGGGTTTAGGGTTTAGGGTTTAGGGTTTAGGGCCAGGGGGGGGGGGGGCATTGGGTGGGGACTCAATGGTGTGGAGTTGAACTCGTCAAACACTTGGCAATCATTGCAGCTCCTGCATGACATACCCTGTTCTAGGCTCAGCGTCCAGAAATCGTGAGCCAGGAGGCCCCTAAGTCCTAAACCCTCAACCCTAAACGCTAAACCCGGCACACTGCCGCGACCTGCTGCATTCAATCGATCTCTACCCCCCCCCCTCTGTGGAGTGTCATTCTCTGTGCCACAGCTACAGAGCCTCATTTACCGGCGATGAGTCCATAGTGTCTAGGGCTTGCCCTAAAAGGTTTGTCTGCCTTTGTAGTAAAAACATAGGCCCCAAGGTCCTTGTAGAGGAGGTACTTTAAGGCCCAAAGTATACCCAATTTAGATACAGGGACCTCAGGGCTTACTTTTGGGCCTAATAGGTTTGGGGAAGAGGGTTTTGAAAGAGCCACAGAGGGAAGAGAGCACATGAACCCAACGATTCACATCGGGATCACTCGGTATCCTTCTCCTCCACATCCACGACGAACCTCCGAGCGTCTCCCCGGCAACACTTAGTTGTCCAGTAACCTGGGGAATTACAGGTTAACCTTTGGGATTGTAAGGGGATTATACTACCCCAAAAAGGTTAAAGGTACCTACTCTACTACTAAGAACAAAACCACCCAAGCAAGCACCCCAACATCATTCTACCTTCGTAAGGATACTACTTAAATCGCTCACATGCTTGTTGCTGTACTTTTCGTGAACATTCTTCTTAGTTATGACTCAGCATCTCGCTGCCCTTAGACTGATGACAGGGCTTATAGGACCCAGATTAGGTCGCTGTCGAGGAGCTCCGGGTATACGTGGTCCGCCGGGAACGGAATGAGCGCAAACGGACCTCTGGGGTTTGGGGTTTAGGGTTTAGGGTTTAGGGTTTAGGGTTTAGGGCAACCCTACAGATTCTTCGGAGAAAACCATAGGAACCCTCGCACCTCTAAGGAACCCTCCGACCCTGGGAGCTATAGGAACCCTACAGTAGGGAGTTTTTCGGGGTTTAGGGGGTTGGTTTAGGGGTTTCGGGGTTAGGGAGGCATCTGAGGCTCAGAACCCATGACGGCCCAAGATCGATGTATAGTCTCTGAACCCTAGCACCAACTGGAGGTCTCAAGAGGCTTAGGTTCTAGGGTGGGTCTGGGGTCGCTAACTCCAACCAAGGGTTTAAGGTTTAGGGCTTGGGGTTTAGGGGTTAGGGCTTTCGAAGCCGAAGAAATGTGGGCTGGGGCAGGTGTGGAAGTTGTGTAGCCGTTGTGGTCGTTGTCAATTTAACGTTCTCTCTTGAGTCGAGGGGAAGGGGAGGGAAGCAAAGGTGGACATTCTGTTGCATGTTTGTAAATGAAAAACCCTCTGAAAAATGATCCTGGATATGATCCGCGTAATCCCAACGAGGGAGAATATAAAATGTCCCAAGGGGACCTAAACCCTAAACCCTAAACCCTAAACCCTAAACCCTAAACCCTAAACCCTAAAAGCCAAAAGCCAAACCCTAAACCCTAGACGTCATACACTTGGAGCCACGGTCAGGTCAGGATACTCTTGACGTTGGTCATCTCTGAAGTGAGAGAAGGGGGTGACCCTTTGAAGGGTAGATGGCTGTTCCCAAACAAGGGGTACCCCTTCTATAGCCCGAATGACATCAAGAATAGGCACCCTAAACCCCTAAACCCCTAAACCCCTAAACCCCTAAACCCTCCCCCAGCCCCCCCTCCCCAAAAAGGTCTAAGTACACCCCAAAGAGCACCACACGCCTCCAGCAAACTGCCGAGAGGGAGATGGCGCCTGGCACCAAGCAAGGGCGGCCACCACCCCTAAACCCCTAAACCCCTAAACCCCTAAACCCTAAACCCCTAAACCCTAAACCCCTAAACCCCAAAAACCCCTAAACCCCTAAACCCCTAAACCGCTAAACCCCAAACTGGTTAGGGGTTTGGGGGTGGTAGGGAGCGGGTTTAGGGATACTAGCGCATGGGGGTTTACTGGATTTAGAGGATCTAGAGGGGTTTAGGGGGCAGATCGGGGTTCAGTGCAGGGCTTGGGGTCGCTGCTGCTCACGGAGGAGATTCCGGCAAGTTTAGGGTGCAGGGCTTAGGGTTGATAAGGGCTTAGGGTTTTGGCTTCAGGGTGCTTTTGGAATAGGGTTTGGGCTTGAGAGTCTCGGTGTGGCGTAGTGTTTTCAGTTCCGGCCTCGTCCAAATTTATAGCTTCAGGGACACGTTGCCCCCTACTCGCCCAACTCGGCGATGGATGTTAGCCAGGATGGCCCCTGAAACCCTCTGGAAAAAATCTTGAAGAACATCCTCTTAACCCCTAAGCCCTAACAAACCCTAAACCCTAAAACGGAAAATATGACATGTCCCAAGGGCCTACCGACGTTAACCCTAAACCCTAAACCCTAAAAGGGGAAATATAGCCGAGTTAGTGGCTGATTCACCCCCCTGAGATTCGAACGGCTTTGGCTGCCACCGATAGGGCTGCACCGGGTGCACGGCACCTCAGTGCATGCATGGCTTGCTGCAGGGTTTAGGGTTTAGGGTTGAGGGTTGAGGGTTTAGGGTTGAGGGTTCGGGGTTGAGGGTTTAGGGTTGAGGGTTGAGGGTTTCGCGTTTAGGGCAGTGCACACGACGGGCAACATGTAGGGCTGTTGGGAGTTTCGGGGGTCCCATGCTGCAGGATTTAGACGTCTAGGTCGCTGTGGTGCTCGTGCTGCAGAAAGCGAGATGCAAGGCCCGACGAAAAAATCAATCCTAAGTGCGGGCTTTGCTTGGAGGTTCAGGGTACTTATAACCCCAAATATGACTATACCTAGAAGCCCCCAGGCGCCACGCGGATCTATGGAGCGCAAAGCCATGGATCTCATGCAAAAGCTTGGAGTGAAGAATGAACATGTCGAGTGAGAGGTTATGCGTACAAGTAGTTTACGGGCAGTGTGTACGGGGTTCGCATTGGCAGCTACGCTCAGCTGTGCTGGTAGCTTGCCGCTTGCTTGCCCGCTCGTACAGCTCTACCGCGCTTTTGGCGCAGAGTGCAGCGATGTCAGTGATGCAGGCAACAGTCCCTGCTTCTCCCTGCAGCCACCTTCGAACACAAATTTTGATCTGGTGCTGCTGTGTTTCCCGCAAGGTTGTACACATTTAGGTACCAGAGACCCGCTTGACGAGGACGGTTGCCCTGAGGAGTGCGCAAGCAAGAAGCCCCCTGAGTCCCCTAAGTGGGATGTAAGGTAGACTTACACGTGGGTTTTAAGTACGCATGAACCTGCAAGTAGGGTGTCTGGGCTTACCCTAAACCCTAGTACAGGCCATTCTGATCTGATAAAAACCTTTAAAACATACAGACTCTATAAGACCCCACACAGGCACAACAAGAAAAACCTAGAACATCGCCCCAAAACCTGTCACTGGCCGAGGTGCGCCCGGCAAAGCAGGACGCAGTAGGCTCCGCCTCGTGGCCGTGCGCGGCAGAGGCCTGAAACGGGTGCCCGCAGGTTTGAAGGGTTGAGGGGTTGAGGGGTTGAGGGGTTTCAAAGTGTAGGAAGTTGTGGGGTTTAGGCTTTTAGGGTTTAGGGTTTTAGGGTTTAGGGTTGGGATCCTCCCCCTTATACAAGAAGTCCTCATAGGGATAATAGTACCCCCAATTACAAAGTCCTCATAGGGATTTACCCCCCCAATTATATAATCCCTATCAAGGACTGTTAGTATATGGGGGAGCATCCCAAGTTTTGGGGGTTATTTGGGTGGAGGGTTTGAGGAATTACCGGTTTTTGGACTGAGGCTGGAGGGTTTCAGGTGTTGGGTTGCGGTCTTTATTAAAAGAAAACTTTGGAGTTCCGGGTGAGCCTAGAAGAAGCTATTATAATTCCCGCAGAAAGGACAGGCACCTGAGTTATTGACATTGTTAATAGGTGTAAATAGCAACAAATTGCCCTAGTCCTTTAATTTTAAGGTGCCAATGGCAAATTGCCCTATAGGCAGGTTTCGGCTAGCATATCTGCTCGTGGCTTCGGGTGGTTGATCGGTTCATGAGTTGAGGATGCGGGTTTGGGCTCGGCGCTTAGATGTGTAGGGGTTCAGGAGCTAGAAGAGCTTCAGCTTGTAGAAGATCGCCACAGGTCATAAGTAGTGCCTACCTATATCTTAACGATAGCCCGGGCGACGACCAAACCCGAAACCCAAATCCCAAAACCCTGTAAACCCTATCAACCCGAAACCCTATACACTACGCCCTAAACCGTAAAAACCCCCTAAAACCCTATAAACCCTATAAACCCTATAACACCCTATAAAACCCTATAAAACCCTATAAAGCCCTATAAATCCTAAACTACCCCCTAAACCCTATAAGCCCCCTAAACCTGATAAACCCTGCAAACTCGATAACACCCTATAAAACCCTCTGCTCCCGAAACCCTATCAACTATCCCCTGAGCCCGAAACCCTGAACTCTAAACCCTGAACCCTCAACCCTCAGCCCTCAACCTTCACCCCTCAACCCTAAACCCTAAACCCTAGACCCTAGCTCAACCCTGACCCTTCCGGGCGGCCCGGCATGAGCTCAGATCCGCGCTGAGATGGATCCTGGTGGCCGCACCACGCCCTCCCCAAACTAGGGTTTAGGGTTTAGGGTTTAGGATTTACCCGCAAAAGGGCTTAGGGCTTTGTAGGGCGTAGGACTTTGGGGTTAGGGTTTGGGGGTTCGGAGGTTTAGGGCTTGGGATGTAGGGTTTGGGGTTTCGGGCTTAGGGTTCCCCAGGCCCTAAACTGCTCTATACGTTAAAGACCCTGAAGCTTGATACACAAACTCCCGCAAAACCCGAAATACACAAGCTGTCGTTGTTCAAGCGATGCTTGGATGACTAACAATCAGCAACACCATGCAACACCCTAACACCCTAAGCACGATCTTGCACCCCTGAACCCTAAACCCTAAACCCTAAACCCTAAACCCTAAACCCTAAACCCTCACCCCTGAACCATGGCCCTGCAAAGCAAAGTCCAAGTGACATGGAGGCGCCTGCGATGGGGAAGCCTTTCTCCAACCAAGCTGGTTCTGTTGGGTTTCAGGACACAACTTGGTTTGGGGGTCAGGGTTTAGGTATAACTAAACGGCTTATAGGGTGATGGAATGTATAAGGGTTTGAGGAGCCCGATTGCCTTAAAGTTCAGGAGCTTAGGCTTTAGCGTCGAGGAGTTTATGCTTGGCATCAGGCACCACGTGCTGCTTTTAATTTGTTCAGGCTATAAGGGTAGCAACTGAAAGGGTGATTGCCCTTCGTCTTGCTTGCTGGAGTATGCTCAAGCACCCTGGCCCCTATGTTGCATCTCCAGCCAGCATCCCTAACTTAGGGGCGCGTCGGCGAAGGTGAGCGCGACACACCCTAAACCTGTGGGAGGCACGTGGGTCTTGGCGACCATCGTCTGTGTGTGTGTATTCAGGTATGTACATGAGTTGTTGTGTTTGCTTTTTGTACTGAATAACTGTAATATGCATACATATATACATACGTACACAGCAAGGCGCGGCACTAATTCTTGAACATCGCGAGGGTCAAGCCCATACTAAATTGTCCCCAAGTGGTTTCCTACAAAGCGCGCGCCCAAAAAACATGAGCACGGCACTGTAGTCATGTGAGGCTAGCCAGATTAGGAGCGTGCGCAAGTACTTGCCGGGCCATCTGCTTTAAGGAGCTATGCTACAATCCTCCAGCCCAATTCCAAATTCGACTGTCTGCGTGCGTTCGTGCCAATATGTGTGTGGGCGGATCATACGGGTATGCGCACTGACTTGTTCTATAACGATGCATGTGCGAAAATCCGCATGTTTGTTCACTGCAGTGGTCACAGTTTGCTTGCCAAGGTGCTGCCGGCGGCAATGCCCGCGAGATCCTGGCCACGCTTAAACCGCTGTTGGGATGCAGTGACAATAACTCTCGATGGGACATGACGGAACTAAAGATTCTCACGATACCCACGGCGTAGGATACAAGCAAGCGCGCATGCCGTCTCCAAGCACAGATGCAAAATGTCAATCGGCGTGTTTTCAGCTGCTTGGCAGCCCAGCAACCAATATAACAATAAGGGCACCCTTTGTGGGGTTGGCTCAGGGAACTTTGAACCGGAACAAGGGAAAAGGGCACCACGGGGCTGCCAAGGCTGTTGTTGCTTCGCGATATGGCTCGGGAGGGCCGCCTTTGCAATCCGAGTAGCCAACGCGTGCCAAGGCTGCACACTTACCCTTCGCGTGCCCCCTTGAGGTTTTAGGGTTTAGGGCTGCTGGGGTCTTGCAAAATTTGGCCTTTGCCGTTCAGCTCTGTCGAAGACAACAGTTGCCTACAGGAATTAGAGATTAAGCTCTCGTATGGAGGATGGGATGTTGCGCTTCGGGCGGATTGGGAAATGGGGAACTGGAGCCCGGTGGGTTGTCCAGGCTCAATACTCCTCTCTGTGCAACCCAGAGACCCCAAAATCCCGCAATTAAGGAATATCCCTTCAATACTTACAGGAACCCTAATATGATTCAAGGAATATTCCTTACCTCTGGGGAACCAGACAGGGGCAGCCGCGCGTGTCATTGCGTCCCTGTGCAAGCTGTCGTCTTTGTCTGAACGTGCGGTTTGCTTGGGAGCTCGAATTCTCTTGGAAGCACTCTGTGCCCCGTGGTCGAACCCATTCGGCTCACGAGATCTGCTTGGCATGGTCTGGGTCTTGCAAGGCAGTGGAAGAATACTCCTAGACCCTAAACCCTAAACCAATGCCTAAAGGGTACGTGTTCATGTGGGCACAGCTGGTTCGGCCCGCGTGGTCTTCTTCTTCCGGGAATGTGCAATCGCTGAACTCTGACTTCGGGGGCTGGTCGAGAAATCCGTTCAAGATCCCTGGGTAACTTACCCGAAAAATAGGGTTCTGGCCGTGGGTTCCCTACTAATTTGCTTAAGAACCCCGAAAGATTAAACATATTACCCTTATTAAGGGGAATATAGGGATTGTTATTGTTCATTCTTTTGGGGTTCTTAAGCAAATTCTAGTTCTCAGCATGCCTGGTCCCCAAGACGCACCGCACAAACCTCCTAGACCCCAGATAAACCCCCACATTTCTTATATAAGCCCAGGACTGGCCTGGGAATGAAAAGGGTTGCCCTTTTTGGTTTAAAGGGCATGGCTTTTTAGGGAACACAAACCCGAAATAAAGAAACTAAGGGTCCTACTCTGGGTCCTAGTAAACCTAAACCCTAAACCCTAAACCCTTAGCCCTAAACCCTAAACCCTAAACCGTTTCTGCGACAAGTTCCTGGGACCTCCTGGTCCGACTCCAACCATAGGAGGGCTTCGTTCGTGAGAAGGTCGCCAGAGACCACCTGTCTAGGGCTTAGGGTTTGAGGGTTGAGGGTTTAGGGTTTGGGGTTTAGGGTTTAAGGTTGGGGTGTGTCACGTGCTCCGCACCAGGCGTGTCGTGTTTTGTGGTGTGGAATCCTAAAGCCTAAGTTCTAAAGTCCCAGAGAGAGGCCCCTGAATCCTAAATCCCAAAGCCAAAAACCCTGAACCCCCGAACCCTAAACCCTAGTTACTTCACAGCTCGAAGTCTGGGGACCCTAAACCCTAAACCCTAAACCCTGAACCCTCAACCCTAAACCCTAAACCCTAAACCTTAAACCCTAAACATGCAGGCCGAGACTTGAGGATGACTTTTCGTCTCCAAGTGGCCGGTTGAGGGTTTAGCAGCTCTACAGGCCCCAGACCCGAAACCCTTAACCCTGAGCCCTCAGCCCCCCAACCCTGAACCCTAAACCCTAAGCCCGAAACCCAAGCCCGAAACCCTAAACCCTAAACCCTAAGCCCTAAACCCTGACTCTGGAGCCTCGGCGTCCGCTGAGGTGCTTCGGCTGCCTTTCCGGTGACCTTTTGGACTCTTGCCAGGCTTTAGGACTTAGACTTAGACTGAATCTCAAAGGGTATTTACATGGTATATCTATATATATATATATAATGTGTATATATATATATATATATAGGGGCTATATAGGGGCTTTATGGGGGTTATATCGGGGATATATATAGGGGTTATCTTATCTCTCTCTCTCTCTCTCTCTCTTTCCTCCACCCCCCCACTCCTTGTTATTTATTCTTTCTGTACCTCTCTGCTTCTCTTTCCCACCACCATCCTCACTTTACTCCAATTGTCCCTGCTCATGAAACTACCCTTTGAGAATCTAGACCCAAGAGAAACCTAGGAATAAAAGGGCACCCCTTGAATGGCTTTAAGAGGGTTCTAAGGGAAATTAAGCCTTGACAAAAACAGGAATATCTGGGTCCTGGGTATTCAGGCTTTGGGGATTGGCGTGGTAGAGTTTAGACAGGCTTTGTTTTGAGACTGGGCCTCTGTTTGTTAAATGGAGTTTCACACATACCTATTGTGGTATACCATTCTATGCCCATGATGTGCCTACCACATGCCTAGGGTTTGCGGTGTAGCTAAGCCCTAAACCTTATCTAAGTTCTAAAGATATGTGTTAGTCCACACAACAAAAGTAGGACGACGGCAAAACGACGGAGGGACGACGGTGGGACGACGGAGGGACGATGGTGGGACGACGGAGGGACGAGGGCAAGACGACGGAGGGACGACGGCAGGATGACGGAGGGACGACGGCAGGACGCCGGGGGGACGACGGGGGGACGACGGGGGGACGACGGGGGGACGACGGAGGGACGACGGGGGGACGACGGCTGTCGCGCCGTCGTCGAGCCGTCGTCGCGTCGTCGTCGCGCCGTCGTCGCGCCGTCGTCACACCGTCATAAGGCCTAGTTTAAGCCCAAACTAGGCCTTATTTAGCCCAAACTAGGCCTTATTTCCCGTCATAAGGCCTAGTTTAAGCCCAAACTAGGCCTTATGACGGCGGGGCGACGGCGGGGCGACGGCGGGACGACGGCGGGACGACGGCGGGACGACGGCGGGACGACGGCGGGACGACGGCGCGACGACGGCGTGACGACGGCGCGACAGCCGTCGTCCCCCCGTCGTCACCCCGTCGTCGCGCCATCGCACCCTGTCGTCGCGCCGTCGTCACACCGTCGTCGCCCCGTCGCCACCCCGTCGTCGCGCCGTCGTCATCCCATCGTCGCCCCGTCAAAGCCCTGACGTCTAGACCCCTCTAGCTGGACTAGAAACCATACCCCACATATCTCTAGAACTTAGATAACCTAAACCCTAAACCCTAAACCCCAAACCCTAAACCCTAAACCCTCCAAGGCCCCCGAGGTCCGAATCACAAGCCTTCCTCGGGGTGCGGCTCGCATATCGAAGCCACAGCTGGGCATGCTCCAGGCACCTCAACCCTAAACCCTAAACCCTAAGCCCTAAACCCTAAACCCTGTGACAGAAGCGATTCAGGGTGGGGTGCAGGATTTTGAGGATAACTGGGGTTTAGGATTTAGGGCAAGGGAACCCAAATTTCCGAGACCCTAAGCCATAGAGCCCTCTGAGCAACTATAATCAACATGATCCTCTTCAAGCCAATTAAGGGAAAATGCAAAATAGCCCTAAACCCTAAACCCTAAACACTTAGGGTTTTAGGGTTTAGGGTTTAGGCTTTCCAATTTCGGGTTGACAAAAAGGACTTGGAGACCCACAGGATTAGCGCCGGAGGACTCCGGAGAGCAAAAGGGAAGCAGGAATCCCAACCCTGTTTCAGACGCATTTTGACCCGAACCCCAAACCCTAAACCCAAAACCCTAAACCCTAAAAACCGTAGACCCTCCCCAACCAGCTCTGGGCTTAGGGTTTCAGGTCTAGCATGAAGGGCGCCCCTCTGCGCTCAAGCAGCTCTAAGATACCAGTATATGCCTATGGGTTTAGGGTTTAGGAATTAGGGTTTAGGGTTTAGAGTTTAGGGTTTAGGGTTAGGGTATGCACCTGATGATTGATGCATCCCCTGTCGAGGGTATAGAATGGTGATTGCATGTGATATATGTATACGACCGAGACTGTAGGGTTTAGGGTTTAGGGTTGCTCAAGGAGCTTGAGGAGCTTGCGGGCTTGGGGGTGCTTAGGTGCTTCATGAAGCATCAGCGCCTCACTTGCCGCACCACGTGCCTCCAACAAGCGAGCGAAGGCTGAATGCATGGAAAAGTCGCTTCTACGGGAGATGAGGGCTTAGGGTTTTTTGGGTTTCAAAAAACTAAACAAATAAATAACTAGAGATATACAGAAAAAACACAGAAAACGTCGCAATGCAGGCCCGAGTTTTACGTAGGTCAGTGCTTCAAGCTAAAACTATAAATATACAACTCAACGATATCAAAGCTGGACACACATGCATCTACTACCCAAATCTATTGAGTAGGCAGATTTTTTACAATGATGCTTAGTTTCAGAGCTTGCGTGGCGGTCAGAGTATGGTGTTTGGTCTTGGTCTGCCCGGGGGGGGGGGGGGGGGGCAACACGAAAAAAAAAAAAATATATCCGCGGGGGGGGGGGGGGGGAAAATAATATATATATATATATATATATTTTTTTTTTTTTTTTGGGGGGGGGGGGGGTTTGCCCCCCAGCCCCCCCCCCCCCCCCAAGAAGGGGGGGGGGGGGGGGGGGGCTGCCCCTCCAAAATTTCATTGGGGACTCCCATTTAAACTTTAAGTGGGTTAAATATTAAAGATGTTAAAGAGTGTAAAAGGGGCCTGCCCCCTTAAAGTTTCATTGGGGCCCCCATGTAAATGTTAAGGAGTCTGAATCTTTAAGTTTTTGAAGATTATTAAAGGGCCCCCCCCTTTCAAATCTAATTGGGGTGGGGGGGCGCCAAATAAATTTTAAAGATTTTAAAGGTTTTTCAACTTTTAACAGAGGGCTCCCCCGTTCAAATTTAAATATGACCCCCAAGTAAAATGTGTTTTTTCAAGTTTTGAAGATTTGTGAAAAAGGGCACCCCTTTAAAATTTAAATGGAACCCCAAGTGACATTTTAAGATTTACAAAGGCTTTAATGATTTTAAAGATTTTGAAAGGCCCCCCCACCCCTTTAAAGTTTAAATGGGGCCCCGAATTCACTGTTAAAGATTTTTTAAAGATTCGAAAAGGCCCCCGCCCCCCGCCCCAATCAAGGTTTAAACACTTTAAAGGTTTCAAATGTTTTACAGAATTTAACAGGCCGCTCCCCCGTTGAAAGTTAAATGGGGCCCCCAGTTCAATTTCAAAGAATTTTAAAAGCCCCTCCCCCCCCCCCCGAAAAGTTTAATTGGAGCCCCCAGTTACATTTTAATGACGTTAAAGATGTTACAGATTGTGAAGGGGGCCTCCCTCCTTTAAACTTTAAGTGGGGGGCCCCAGTAAAAAAATTATGATTTTAGGTTTTAAAAGATTTTAAAAGGCCCTCCTTGAAAATTTGAATGGGGCTCCAATGAAACTTGACAGATTTGAAAGAGTTATTGATTTTACAGATTTTGGAGATGTTAGAAGCCCTCCCCCCAAAAAGTTTCAACGGGGCCCCCAATTCAATTTTTAAGATCTTAGAAGCCCCCCCCCCCCCCCCCCCCCCCCCGGCCCAATTAAATTTTTATAGATTTTAACTCTAAAGAATAACTGGGGCGGGCCCCTGGTCCCCTCAATATCTGAGTACCTTCGAAAAAGCTGAATGGGAAGGGGCCCGATTCTTTTCAGGGCTTTAAAGTTTCTAATAGCCTTGCACACTTTTTCAGTTTTTTAAACAATTAAATGGGAAGGGGTCCGAATGTATTTGTTTTTTTTGAGGATTTGAAAGGTTTAAAAAAAATGGGTATGCGGGGGCCCCGGGGCCCTTCCCTTTTTGATTTTTGAAGACTACAATTCAAATTTCTCCAAGATTTAAAGGATTTTTGGAAAATTAAATGGATGAAGATTCCCATTCAAATTTCTTCAAGATTTAAAGGATTTTAAGTTTTTTTTACATTAAATGTATCCGGGTGGATGTTCTAATAATATGTATGCAGGTATTGTAAGTATGGTCACAAATATGCCATCATATTAAAGATATGTACATATGTATGTATGCATTCTCATTTAGAAGCGACACTGGCTTGAATGACGACTGGGGGGGGTCCACGCGCTAGACATGGGTCGCTTCCATCAAGGTACCTTATTGGGGTCCTTATTAAGGGGGCCAAAGGGATTCGGGTTTAGGGTACTTAAGGGTTTTGGGGATTCTTAAGCCCTCACTCAAACCGAAGAGACTACAGTGACTACAGTCTCAGTTCAGGACTTTCGTGGGCTTAGGGTTCAGGGTTTAGTGTTTTAGGGTGCTTCCCGAAGGCCTGGGGTTTAGGGTTTAAGATTTAGGGTTTAGGGTTTAAGATTTAGAGGTGGTTGGGGTCTGTTGGGGTCTAGGGTGCTTGTTTGTGTCCAGTCCTAACGCATGCATGCATTCGAGCTGGCAATGGCCACTACCAACTGATTCCCTGCTTAACGGGTTCAGGGCTGAATTAGGAACCTAGTGAATGGGTATTTTGGGGTAGCCTTTAGTATAATGTTTCGGCTCCTGTCTGATTCCCACCCTCCCCCCCCCCCCCCCCCCCCCCCAAAGCCCCAACTCTCAAGCCCCCCTAAACCCTAAACCCTAAACCCTAAACCCTAAACCCTAAACCCTAAACCCTAAACCCCCAAAAGTGGCCTCTGGCATGGCCCGGCCAGGGTCAGAAGGCGGCGGCCCAGCGCCGGCGCGGCGAGTTGGAGCTGCCGGAAGGGCGCCTCGGCGCTCGATTCTTGCGGTTCTGGGGGTTTAGGGTTTAAGGTTTAGGGTTTAGGGCTAAGGTTAGGATTTAGGGTTTAGGGTTTAGGGTTTAGGGTTTAGGGTTTAGGGTTTAGGGTTTAGGGTTTAGGGTTTAGGGTTCAGGGTTCTGCAGGATGAGCCCGGCTCCTCGGTTCCAAGCGAAGCTGCGCAAGTCACGGTTGAGGGTTCAGGGTTTAGGGTTTAGGGTTAAGGGTTTAGGGTTTAGGGTTTAGGGTTTAGGGTTTAGGGTTTAGGGTTCAGGGTTTAGGGTTTAGGGTCCACGTGCCTCATTCTCGTAACTGTCGTCTTTTTCGAAGCTGCGACTATCTGAGACCAGATTATGGAAATATAGGAAAAAGTGTGTTGAACATTGACAAAGTCTATGACTTTGTCAGATTTCAACACACTTTTTTCAAACTTTACTAATAGCCACTACGCTCGCTAAAGAGAGAGAACAAAGACGACAGCAACTTTCGCTAGTGCGAGAATAAGATATGAGAGAAAAGAAGCAAGAAATCGGGGAGAGAATGATCAAGATAGAGAGAAAAAGCGAGAGAGAGAGAGAGAGACAGATAAAACGAAAGACAGAGACACAGAGAGACAGGGAAACAAAAAGAGAGAGAGAGAGAGCGCAAGAGACAGAGAAGAGCGAGAGAGAGAGCGAGAGAGAGAGAGAGAGAGTGAGAGAAGGAGATAGAGAGAAAGAGAGAAAGACAGAAAGAGGGTGACATAGGGGCCTGAACAAATAGAATAGGGTTTTGGGGGGTTGTTATTTATACAGGGACCCTAAGAAAAATACTATTAGAATTTATTCCGACCCCTATAGTAGATAGAACACATCGATTCAGATCTCGTGGCGCGCATCGTGTCGTCTGCACTTGGGTTCGTGGCCCCTAGTCAGGTTTTCCAACACATGCACCGTACGCCCTAAGCCCTAAAATTCAAACCCTAAACCCTAAACCCTAAACCCTAAACCCTAAACCCTAAATCGTTGGAGTCCCAGCATCACTGATGGGGTCGCGAGCAAGGTGGTTCCAGTAGATTGGCAGCTCGAGTGCCAGCGGCGCCAGCGGATGCTCCTAGCGACAGGTACCAGGATGGGCTATTTAGGGTTTAGGGTTTAGGGTTGAGGCTTTAGGGTTTAGGACTTCCCCATAATCAACCCTATAAAGGGCTTTTTCAGAATAGCCCGTCCTGGTATGGGGGTACCAGGGTTTGGGTTTCAGGGTTTCAGGGTTTTAGGGATTCAGGGTTGAAGCTTGAAGGCATTCAGGGTTGAAGGGTTCTCAGTGCATTGCGGGTGGGCCTCACTGCCTCCGATCTGCGAGCACAGCACCAGGAACTCGGGGCACACCTGCGAATTGCTGAGGCGGACTCGGGGCTGTTTGGTTCCCAGGCCCCAAACACACTAGAAAGCCCTGTAAACCCTGTACTATAGGGGCCTTAACAACTAGAATAGGGTTTTGGGGGGTAGTGTAGCATGAAGGTGCCATAAGGGAATACGATTAGGAATTATTCCGACCCCTATATTAAACCCTACAAGCACTATAACCCCCATAGACCCTTTCAACCCTATAAACCCATAAACCCGACAAACCTTGATAAACCTGATAAGCCCTGATAAGCCCTATAAAGAGGATAAACCCTAAAAGCCCTTTAAACCCGAACAAAAACCCTATCAAAAGCCTCCCCCTAACAAACCCTAGAAAACCCCAATAAACCCTGTAAACCCTAACAAACATTATAAACCCTATAAACCCGATCAAAAGCCTGTAAGCCCTAAACCCGGCGCCTGCTCCGGGCTGAACACGAGGACGCGGCGCGCTGCATTGTCCTCCGATGTGGAGCATTGTCCAGATTTGGGTTTAGGGTTTAGGGATTAGGGTTTAGGGTTGAGGGTTAAGGGATTCGGGCTCAGGGTTCAGGGTTCAGGGTTCGGGGTTTGGGGCTTGGGGTTTGGGGTTTGGGGCTTGGGGTTGAGGGTTTAGCGATTCGGGTTTAGGGTCTTCTCGGGGTA